GAGAGAGAGAGAGAGAGAGAGAAAGAAGAGATAGAAGCATATCGCCGAGGAATATTCATCGGACTGTGCAAGAGATTTTCCTCGAACGTTTCTACCGATTATCCAATTTACTTGTCGTCAATTTATACTGACGCACGTAGAAACGTAGAAGTCAATTTAAGTCAATCTAATTTCTGCCCTTCTCCACTTGGAAGGCGATGCACATAGGTCTATCATAGCTCGAGGAAATCCGCAACGAAAAAAATTCGATGACGAAAAATTGTCGAGATTGCAGCAGAATGAAATGTTTTGACAACGTTAACTATCGCATTATTGAATTCTTTTCTCGAGAGGTTCTGTAACATCTGACGTACGAAAGGCTGAATATATTACACGTATTGTGTAAAAAATTACTATTTTTTTTTTTAAGAATTTTATTCACCATTGTTTCCTACAATGTAATGAATTTGTTTTTTTTCATTGGACTATGTCATAACATCACTATCATCGCTCGAAGTGTGTTTCTCATATAATAATTTCATGCCAATTGCAATGATATTCTTATTTTTTAATTGCTCTTCAGAGCAAATGATACATGAATTTTTCAAATCACTTTGAAATTGCTCAACATCAGGATCATTTATAATCAGATGATTCTAACTTGTCAACTGATTGCATCCTTTTTCCATTAAACATCTTTCTTTCATTAAATATCTTAATTAATGTTATTTTTTTATATGACCAGAGATACTTAAGACTAATTTCATTGACACTTTTTTATCAACGTCATTTATTAATTCCATCAATACTAAACTAATGTTGAAAACTGATATGTACGTACAATTTCGACTATATCTTAACTATAATTTCAACTTAAAATAAAAGAAGTTATGTAAATAAAATATATAAAAGAAACCGTGCAACTGTGAATAAAACGTGTAAAAAACTGCGTAATTATGAGACCTAGGTGTAATTTTGTTTGTTAAATTGTAATAAAGTTAATACATGTATATACAGATATAACATAATCCATATTAAAAAAGTATTGACAAAGTTAACTTTTAGGAAATAGGAAATCAAAAAGAGATAGCCTATATTGAGAATTGTATAAGAATTGTGCATTATCAATATTTATTTATTTTAATCGATTAATTTCTTTTTAATCCTTTCATTGTGCGAAGAAATTATAAAAAATTTATGAAAAATAACTTAGCGAATTATTTTATCGTCCCTCTTGACAACAGACACAGAAATTATTACTTTGTCATAATTTTTTGATCGAGACCTTTAACTGTAACATTACACACACACACACACAAAATAACTAAACTACATTTACTGGAAATTTGAAAATGCAATATATAAAAGTGTATAAAATATCTAAACTTTTAATGTAAAGTGTATGTTTATTATAATATTTAGAAACAAATTTAGGTACCATTTTGATTACATTTAAAATTATGCATAAACATATGCAGTCTAGTATAGAAAACACTCAAAATATGTAAAGTTTATAGCATTATTCTTGATTCTTAATTTGTTTATATCTCTCTCTCGTACTTTATTGTAAGTTGATAACTAATTTATTTTCTATTAATTACAAATCAACTTTAAATATTGGACGTTGAAAGCATTCTTTTAGTACATTAGACTTTTCTTTTCTGTGTCTCTCTTGTATGATTGTATGATTTTTTATTTATACTATGTACTTTTTGGACACTATCTTAATTAAGAGTTAGTTAAATTAACTACTATTCTATTCTATTACTAATTTCCAAAATTACTCGTAATTTACACATTATTTCATACTTCTGTGATGCGTCTATATTAACATATTTTTATTAATTCTTTCACTTATTGTTTAAAATGACGATCAGCTGCAACAGTCTTATATTGTAAGACGTAAAAAATAATTATACAGATTTCACATATAATTATTGCGTATAAAAATTATATAGACTTTGTGCATAATTATTTATTTATCGTTTAAAACAAGAAATATGCATGTAGTTATATATTCGTCGTCGCGATAGTTATTAATAATTCAGCGTGATTGAACAAACTGAACAATGAAAGATATATCATATAAAAGAATATTTTCTATAAGCCAGAA